GATCAAGAAGAAAAAAATTAATATTACAAACTCTGGGATTTTACTAACGAGGCTATGATAGAGATTAGTCACTGAAAACAAGATTCCTCTGTTATTGTGTCTAAATGACTCTGTATTATTGTGAGAACTTTAAAAACAAGTATACAAAGTTCCAGAAAGAAGTAATATCTGACTCAACTAAATAGTGGGTTTAAAAATACAAATCCAGGGGTCACAAACTAAAGACACACAGATTTAGAATTTAAACATTAAGACATCCTAATTTTCCCTAAATCCTTTTAATCCACTATAGAAATGGAAAATTTAAAGGATTTTCTCCATCTAAAAAGAATTAATATGGCCTCTCAGAGCGGATCATTATTTAGTTATTCTTTAATTATTAATATTTCAAATAAAATTCACAGGACCCTCAGAAATAAAGTATCTTAGACATTTGCCAAAAGAGATGAAAATAAATGTTTAGACAAGATTGTATATTCTTTCCTTTAGAGTTGAATGACTTTTTCCCAAATCTCATACATTACATTCTATATTTATTTCTTGCTCAATTGCATATTCTTTTCAGAGATTTGTTCTTTCATTCTCTAGTTAAGGTAGAGGCAATTATTTTTTCATTATATTTCAATTGTTCAGAAGAAGTTTTCTACTGAATTTGAATTATAGTAGCTATAATTAACTGATGAAGGCTTAAATACATATTTAAATTACTTCTGTCCACCATAATTGTTGATGTCCATGAGTTAACACTAGCCTTTTATGACAAAAACTGCTAAACATGAGCAGTTCATTTTTTCAGGCCAATAATGTGAAAATGATTATTGCAATAAGTACTTGTAGATTAATCTATATTTCAATAAGCAGAGCAATTCAAATATACCACGAGTAAGACAACATCAAGTACTTGGGAACCTCCCTTCTAGATTTAGAATTGTAGTCTGCAATTTGCCCCCTTATAGTTAAGCTTTTATTTTACGGTTGGACAAATGAACACTAGATTCCCCAGCTTAATTTAGGATTCTGTTCATTTTCATCGGAGAAACAACTTAAAATACTAAAGCCAGAGACAGAAAACAAGCAAGTATGAATGTCATTAAAAATTTGAATTTAGATTTATGACTTTAATGCACTTAACCACTCTAATCAAATGCTTAGGCAGGTAATTATGTTTTTTAAAGAGGTTATGAATACTTCATCAAATTCTGAATAGAAAGCACCATATAAGAAAATCAGATTCTAGAAAATTAATTCTACTTATTGTTATGTGTGTGTATATAACTGTTGCTTTCAAAAGAATTCTTAGAAAAAAGAACAGTTTCCCATTCCTATTTATTCTTAGATGATTGTTTAATAGTGAATACTTTAATTAGTTCAATAGTGAATTGTTTAATAGATTGTTTAATAGTGAAGTCTGTTTACATTTGAAGACATTTTGAATAATCCTATTAAAAACCAATTCAAACAATGTGGTTCATGTTTAACTCTTCAGTTATTTATCTCTTTAAGTGATCCCTTCCTTAACACAGCTATAGTTCAAGAGGTAGCCAACAGTTGGCCTCCATTTCAGTGGATTTTCACGAACAACCAGATTTCTTTTTGCAAACTTTTTAAATGTTATGTGCCTAAATAACTTTTTCATAACTTAAGTTTATAAAAAGCTTTCAAAAGGAACAAAAGACACACATTTTCTTTTAAAAATAAAAGCTAAACAAAAAGAAGCCACACGCATTGTAAAGATATTCTCTGCAAAACGTTCTGTTCAGCAGACCTGAAATGCCTCCAAAGGGATCAAGAACCACTTGGTTTGGAAGCAACAGCTGAGAACTCACAACAGGTTGGTTAAAAGCCAGCAGTAAAGGCCATGAGGAGATCTTCAGAGAAGATCAGGCGTGGCTGAGACACCAGGCCCTGGGCCTTGCCCGGTCTCCCCATTCCATTTACTTGGAATGCTTTCAACAGTACCTTTCAGCCACACAGTGCAGCTGCTCAAAAGCATCTATTGTTGGTCCTCTGTTCTCTTCTTTTATGCTCTCCCCTAAAGACTGCAATCCTACTTACTATGATGTTTATGGCAGCAACTCATAAATCTACATTGCTGTTTCTGTTATACCACCCAAAATATCCCTTATCTCCAAGTTCTGACATAAATATTTCTACCAAGATATAACATCATTATCTCGCACTCAACACATACAAAACAAATTTATTCATCTTTATTAAACTTATTCCCTCCTTCAATTTCCTTGCCTTTGATGGTATCAATCCCATTTTTCTGGTCACCAAGGATTAAATCACAGGAACAATCATGGACTCTCTGGTGACCTCTATCACTCACATTCAGTGGGTTTATGTATCTGACTGAATTTTTCAAAGACATTCACCACAATGTCTCCCATCCCACATGTACTTCTACAATATGATCTTGCCACGTTGTCATCAAATAGTGAAATCTAATTCTTCTCCCCTTGAATAGGAATTGGACTTAATACTCACTTATTACCAAAAGAATGTGACTAAAGTAGTGCCACAAGACTTCCAAAACTAGGTCAGAACAGATCATGCAACTTCTGCCTGGTTCTCTAGGAATACTCTCTCTGGGGAATGCAAGCTGCCCTATAAGAATTTCAGCTACCCTAAGACTGCCACGCTGAGAGGCCACATGTGGTCCCAACTAGGCCCAGTCTTCTGACTATCCTAGCAAGGAGCCATAAACGTGAATAAAGCTGTCTTGGACCTTCCTGAACAGCTCATCTTCCAACTGAATGCCATCCACTAAACTCAGTAAATACCTTAAGGAGAAGAATCACCTAGTTGAGCGTTATTTAATTCTTGACACATAAAATCCCAAAATATAAAATACGTCCACAGCTTTTCTTCTAAGCATTCAATACATCATGTGTACAACTATTACTATGTGGGGTGAATGTTCACTGAGATACCACTTATTTCCCATCTGTCCCAGAGCCATCATCACAGAGGAAGCTTCCGTCACCTCAAATCTAGATCATTATAACAGATTCTAGGTTGTCCTTACTACAAGCGTCATTATCATCTATCTAACCTAACATTTCCAAACAAAACTGCTTTTACACACAGACACCTCACAATGTTTTACATTTTTAGAATTCTTTACGATGCAAAATTGCCTTCATAAATATTTATTTTTCTTGATCCATACAACAAAACCCAGAGAGATTTGTGAAGAAAGCAAATATTCTTTTCCTTACTATAGAGATGAAGAGATCAGAGGCTAAGGAGATTAACTTTCGTACAACTTCATTGCCAGCAAATGGAATGGATATAAATAGAATAGTCTCTGTCTTACACTACTACTGTTTCTCTATTCTTCAATGCCTCCCTTCCTTCCTATTATCTATTTCAGATCAAAAATATACAGTGCCTCTCTTCATCTCTACTACAGCAAATCTCCTCTCTAGGTATCCATAATTTGGCCTCAATCTATCCAGTTATATGGTATTGTCTAGTAAACTCCACCACCACCACCAATACCACCACCACAATAAAGCCAATTTATTTATTCACCTAACAATGTCATGCTGATTCTAGCCTCTGAATTTTTGCTCACAAAGTTTCCTCCTTTCTCCATCTACTTAAACCTTACTCATGCATTAGCACAAATTCTACCTCCTCCATTTAGCACTACCAACCTATCCCTATTGCTTTCTTTCTCTGATATTCCTACAGCATTTGTAAATTTCACCCAAATATTGCAAATTCTATTAAATTGTTTATCTTGTTCAAATGTGTTAGTCTCACTTTCCAGGCTGATATTCAGCTAACACACATCTGTACATACAGTAATGTTGGATGTTTAGAGCCAAAGTCTGTTCTGAGCAGTCAGTGCCCATGACATACCATTTGTTAAATATTTTGAATTTCATCCCTGCCTATTTTCCAAGCTAAACCATAAGCTCTTTGAGAACAGGAACCTTGTCTTATAAAGAAGTATTATATCCTCCAAACCAAGCACAGTACTAAGCACACAACTAGTGTTCAATATATATTTATTAACAGATTTGAAGGGAGTGCAATGATTTGTGTTATGAGAAAAAAAAATATTCTTAAATTATGTCTACATTGGAAAGGAAGTTGAAAAGATAAAATATTTTTGAGATCAGTAGTTTAACATTAGAAACATTTTTTTAATGTATCAGTTAAAGATATTCTGTGCAGCCCATAACTGTCAAAATGTTTTATAAATGTTTTTCCCAGGAGTGTGAAAAAAATGCTTCAAAAATATTCAAGGAGTAGATGTCTTAACAGCCCAAAATAAAATGTTTGCTGAGGCTACAAGGCTGGCAGGACTCTGCTTCATTTCAAAAAGTTTCCAGGCATTGGAAATGTTTTCCTGGAAAATACTACCTTGTATTTGGAGAACACTTGCCATGAACACTTAGTCATTAAGTAATTTAAGGTTTCCTCAGAAGCTCTTTGGAGGAAATCTAGTATATGAATGAATGAAATGATCAGCACCTATAATGTAAAAATAATACATTTGGCTAAATATATGAATCTACCTAAGTATTTTTCCAAAGGGAAAAAAAATCTTTTTAGTCTACTTACCATTCTTTTAAAATTTTCTATAAGATAAAATTGAAAAAAAAAAAAAACAAACCATAAAATCCTTAAGTATTCATCTATAATATATACAAATCCAAAAAACCGGAGGGCTTATTTTATTCCAATTGCCAAATAATTTTCAAACAGACAAAATAGTCATTTCATTCAAAGAAAAGAAATGGTAACTTCAAAGCTATTTTTAGCAAAATCTTTGAGTTTGCTTCAAATCACCTTTCAATGAAAGAGCAACTTAGTTTGGACATTTTACTCAATCGTCTGCAGTAAGTTATACAATGAAAACTAAGAAAATAATTTCTTGTAAGAGTTCTAAAGCCAACTAAGTCTTATTCTACTTCATGCACACGGTTGGTACATTTAGTCTTTTAAAAATGTACACAAAAGAATTGTTTATTTTGCTTTACCTGTTTAGTATTTCAGTGAGTTTCACAAAGCCAGTGTAAGCTAGTTCAAATGCTCCTCTGTGCCTGGACTGTAAAAGGTGTTTTTTAAAGTGAGCTCCTATTTCTTTTACCTTTAAAACAAACAAAAAAAATAAATGTTCAATTTATGTTTACATTTACAGGTATATTTATATCAGTAACATTTAGAATTCAGGTCTAGATGTCCATCCATAGCACTTACTATGTGATAGGTAGTATTTAAGCATTTTTATATCATTTAACTCAGTAAGTCCATGAAATAAGTACTCATTACCTCTACTTTACAATGGGGAAAATGAGGTCCAGAAAGGCCAAGTAAATTATCCAAGGTCACATAGCAAATAAGTGGTAGAAGTAGTTAATAAACTTAGGCAGTCTGGCTCCAGAGTTGGCAGTCTTTAGCTGCTACATTAGAACTGCATCCCAGTGTCTGGTTCACAAACCTGGGTTCTCTTTGTTAGCATATATCATTCAATACCAACAAATCACACAAGGTGACAACCCTCACACACCAAGGCCTAGGTGAAATAACTACCTTTTATTCCCTTAAAAAATGTTATTCTATTGTGGTTAAAATATACATAATAAAAGTTACTATTTTAACCATCTTTAAGGTATAGTTCAATGGCATTTGGTATACTCACACTGTTATACAACCATCACCACCATCCATCTGAGGAACTTTTTCATTTTCCCAAAATGAAACTCCAACCATTAAACAATTCCCAATAATTATCTTTCAGAGATATACAAATGTTAATGGCAAGATTTAGTGCAAAGGGCCTCCTGAAAATTGACAGGCATCACGTTGAGTCAGAACCATGGAATTTTCCAAAATGCTACCCAATCACTTTCCTATATATTGTCTTTCTACATGCAAGGTTAAACAAATAACAAATATGACTATTTTAAAGAAGACATGACTGATAATTAGTTGTTGATGAGGTTTTGTACAGAATTAACCACTGAATTGATTGGACTTATTGTACTTCTATACAGCAGAAATTTGGTGGCTTTCGGCTTTAGAAAAATCTAGAAATTTTACAAAACTCAGGACCAAAGCTATAATTGGCTATCTCTTGACCCAGATCTCCCCAGCAGATTACAGTACAGTGAAAAAGCGAGCCGACCCAAGATAGTTCAGATATTCTTACCTAGAAACACCTTCTACCTCAGCACAGTGACTAGAAAAGTGTTCTGAACACATTAGAGATGATAAATAGTCAAGCAGTAGTTAAACAGGTGACCATAGGCAAGTATCTCAGTTTCTTAATCAATAAACTGAGGATAACAGCAGTACTGCATCATGGATCATGTATTAAAATGAGTTAATATATAAAAACACAGAACAGGCCCATAACCTATTAACCAATTCAGTTCAATATGAGCTGTCTGGGTTTCCAAATGGGAGAAAAATAAAGACATACTCCATATTCAAAATATATCTGATTGTAAAGACAATGAGTGATATCCAAAGAAAGAATCAGATACAAAACCAACAAAGAACCAGAAAAGCAGCATATAATAAAATTTTTAAAAACCGAACATCTCAATATCTCAAAGAGTAATATACCATGTTCCTCAGCTAAAGTTTTCACGTAAAGATCTGAAGATAGTCCTAATTTTTAATATTTTTTAAAGGCTACATACTATTAGCTATCGAAAAGCGACACGATAAGCCTTATCACTTTATCTTCAATATGGTAATTTCGGAGTATATTTTGAACAGATTAACAAGCCTTAAATCTGAATTTAACCACCAAGATAGATCTGAAGCTCAATAATCCTAGAAAACAGGTACAAGAAAAACACCAGTTAACTAATTTGCTGTCTGTTACATGTCACACCTCTAAGTATCTATAATTTACCAGCAGATTATTTAGGGGAGCTAAATGGCTCATCTAGAGCATAAAACCCACAAAAGACAAATGTAAAAACATTTTTTATTTGTCCTTTATCTATACAATAGAGAGAAACATAGTAAAAAAAATCAAGGCTAATTCCACTCATTAAAATTAGATAAAGCCCAAGAAGTTTTAAGTACAGGTGGGACATTTCTATAAAGAGCATTGTGCAGTGGTTAAGATCTGAGACTCTGGAGCTAAGAGGGCTAAGTTCAGGAACCATGCTTGGCCTCATTCTTCATACAAGATAATCAAGCAACACAGATCCCTCATCTGGAAAATGAGGATTACACATATAAGCATTTAGCAGACTACCTGACACAGAGTAGTAAACAATAAATGTCCATTTTGGTTTTTATTTGGTATCATCAAGTAGTAAGACTTAATCCTAAACCTTAACTTAAAGTTTGACTTTAGGGTACAAACACTTCTTATAACCCTAGGAATGTCAATAGTTAGGATTTTCTAATTCTACTTTAGTTAAATAAAACATTTTATAAAATTTTACAGTTCAGTGAGATAATTAATGTTTTAAGTGGTATATTCTCTACTATAGTGATTTCTTACTAACACTTAGGAATTCTTCAAAGCCTAAACATTGTTCTCCTACATAATAACAACAAAGATAATGGTTTTATGGTATTCAGACATCTTCTTACTAGAATGTTTATTCTTTGCTTTCTAACAAATTCTTAACCATGTGACATTTTAACTGTTGTCCTTTAGGCTGACTTTTCAAAAAGATTTTCTCAGGCCAAAATTCTAACTTGACTGATCCAAAGTAAAATGAAAAAAATTATACTAAATCATAATGTAAAGTACATTCATTTTCAATAAACTATATCTGGAAGAAAAAAAAGAATTTCTCTTGTATCCTCTATTATATTTCTAAGCCCTTTGAGGTCCAAGAACCACATATTATATTTTTGTTCCCACAATAACCTTATACTAAGAGTGTCAATAAACGGGTGACTAAATGATGTTCTTAATTTTATTTCACAACTTAAAAATGGTAAACTGCATTCAGTACAATTCAATGAATCATTATTCATAACTTCTAAAAAATAAACCTTGGTAAAGAAAATACAAAAGGTAATTTCTTTAAGACTTATGAATGTTAGTAAACACAAATGCCATTTTGTCATCCATTACAGAAAATTTAAAGCAGAACAAAAGACACTGAGGGAATATAAAAACCCAGTTAGACATGTTCATCATGAAAATTACAACAGAATCTAAAGTAGGAGTTTAAAAAAATACCTAATTTCTAATAGCTGAAAATTATTTTTATTCAGGTGATTTCTTTGACAATAATTACTAGGAAGGGGAAAGCAGTTTGAAGATCTACCCCAAACCTTCTTTTTAGGAATATTAGGGGAAATATATAAATATAGGGATTGATACTTCAGGGAGAGGAAGTTGTTTTAAAAAATCAGTAGGCACTAGGTATCTGATATCCCATGGATTAAGGACCAACAAAATGTATCAAGCAAAAGCTCTACTTTGGCAAAATATCCAGCTTGAAACCTAGACACGCATCAGTCAGGAAGCCGTGAGATAAGGTTGCACATACCGTTCACTCTTTAAGGCTCTCAACTTACATCCCTCAAAGCTGGTTTTATCTCTGCCTCTTGTACAGGGACATTATGAAAGAACCTTTCATTATGTGATTACCTTGCAGGAGGAGAGTCAGACACGCCTCTGAAAGAACGCATTTTCCTCTTGGTGAAGCAGCGGAGGACACACAGCTTCACAAGAAATGATTTAGGGAAATGAATTATTTGCTAAAAAGTTCAGTAGCAAGTGCCTTACTGCCCTATTGCTTGCAAAAATTTGGTTGGGTATGAGAAATAAGACAAGTTAAATTTAAAGAACTATTAAATGAGCAGTTCAGAACAAAGACAGCACTGTGCCATGTCAGAACACAGACTAGAAAGAAGAACTGGGTTCCTGTCCCAGAGCTGCCACAAACCAGCTTTGTGATCTTAGGCAAACCAGGTAACATCCAAGGGCTTCAGTTTCCCCTTGTATAAGGGAGCTGGATAATATCATCTCTGTGATCCTTCCAGCTCTAATAGTTTGTGAATACAGCACTGAATACTTGGAATTATAAATGAGAACCAATTTTTTTCATACAGTAACAAAAATCCCCAAATTGTAATCTCACTACCTGCTGGCCTATTATAAACCACACTCGTGTAAGCAGCATTTAAGTGATACCCCTTTAACAAAAGGCCGTATAATCAGGACAGGCTTAAAGGACCTGGGCTACAAAAGAAATCCTCCCTGTCATCTACATTCAAGACATGAAATTTCAAATTATAACAGAATTACACTATGTTTTCAAGAGTGAAGGGTGAGTGGAGGGTAAGAGAAGCATAAAGCTAAACATCGGTATTTTAGGGTATATGGAACAGCCTTCTTCATCTATTGAGAGAAAAGCAGATCACAGTCACAGTTGTTCTTGAGAATAATAAATCCAAGTTCTACATTCTCTCCCACGAAGGGTAGCATTCTGCCTTTAAGTCACTTCACTGCCTCTGCTCTACAGATTTGTTATGGTCACCTTCACCTCATGTGTTAACTTCTAAGTTCTTAATTCTTGTTCTAGGTGCACAGAAGACCTAGTGCTGCCAGGACAACTAGGCCCTTGGAAAGAAGGTGAACCTTAGGCATGGCCCAGCCATGCCAATGAAAATGACATTCTTCTCTGTTATTTATATTTTTTAACCCTTAAAAGTTAGAAGTACATGGAGTATTTTTAATTTAAAGGAATTTCACGGAGCAAAATTTTATGTTTAAAAGCGGGACGCCTCTAGTATATAAACAACACTAATTTCTTGATGACTTTGGGTTTTTATTGACTAAACACTCCTAAACTGAGGCATTTCTTTAAAGTCAGCATGATTAAGAATAAAAGTTTTCCACAGAAAGCAGGGTTTCAATGTCAGAAACAGTGCTATCACATATACTCCTTCGTTAAGTGGTTTATTTCTTCTCAAACCCATATATGTGATGTCACCATGTGACTAGTGACATGGAAAAATGACTGCACCTCTAGAATAGAAACTAATATTTTACAGAAAAACAGGATGCCATTTCTTATTCAAGAAAACAGTCATTATGGTTCTTTGGTTTAGAAGAACTCACTTTGTTACTGTTGCCATTGCTCTTTCACAAACATCTCCTTCATTTTATATTAATACCCATTATTAACATGGTATCCCACATAAATTCATAAGATTTGGGTGCCATGTAAAAGGTGTCAAGGCAAAATAATTTTCATAGGAAGCTTTCAGGTCTTTCTTAGTTACAGTAAAAGCAAAATATGTTTCACTTACTTTTTTAAAAAAACACTATCCAACAAACTCAAAAACAGTAGATGTTTCAATTTGTCCTTGAAAAGTTGAGAAATTAAGGGACTCTAACGCATGTTTACTGCTTAGTTAGATGGTGAACATCAGTGAAGCAACCATTAATCATAGCTGGATTCCTCAGGAAAGATGTTGGCATTGGCACTACAGTAGTCACTAGCAATGACTACAAGTAACTCTAAGACACTAACGCCTATTTGATTTGGAAGAGAATAAGGAACATAATGATGCTGGCAGAGTACTGTTCCCTTTTGCCATTCTCCATCTCCGGGCCTTGCAACATCACAAGCCCAGCTGTTAACCAGATGCAAGCACATGAGCCACAGAGAGTGTGAGAATAAAAATATTAGCATTATTTCCATGGAACTAGTCACATGGTTATTATAGAAATAATCATCATTAGCATACTACAATGTTTGTTTTGTTCTTAAATGTTATAAAACCCTCAGGGAAAAATTATCTTTATTTGAAAAAGGTTAAAAATGAAAGTTCATGTTATATATCTTTGCTGGAAAATGGTGGGAAATGGATTTGTTGAAACCATATGGAGAGGAAAAGAGAATCAATTAAAAACAGAAATCTAATAAATCTAAAATATTTCCAAATGAAATGCTTGTGGTAAGCTAATTTCTTGTAAACACTGCATTCAAGTCACTTGAACAGTCCCAGATGGTGAACTAACTCTGTGGTCTTAAAATAAAAGTCAGCCAACAAACCAAAGTGACTACAACTTTATTATCAATGCAGTGAGAAACAAGAGATCCATAATCAACCAATATATTACTTTTTTTCTTTGCAAAATTTAAGAGGTTTGTGGAGTTTTACTAAAGACAATTTCATTAAAATTTAAGATTTAAATTTATATGTGTTAATTAGAATTAAAATGAAGTTAAAAGTGAGTTAAAATCTACACTTATTTATATAACTTAGAAATATAAAAATGTTTCTAAAAATGTCATAGTTTTGAAATGTATTGCAAGGTCTAATTCCTAAACTACCATATACTTCCTTCAGTTGACATCTATATGATTTTATTCAAGAAACACTCAAAACTTTTTTTTTTAAGTTGAGTTATAAATAAAAGTTTGTGATCTGTGCTTTGACCAGAAATTACACCAGGTGAAATAAACATCTACCCTACCTGCTCCACCGTCAATAATCCATCAGGAGATTCTGGCACAGACTGCATTGGTAGAAGCTGGCACAGTGTGCCTAAAAGTAAAGCAACTTCCTTCATACTTCTCCAACAGCATACCAGCACCATCTGAGCAGTTACATCACATGTTTTTCCTTCTTTACCTTAAAAAAAAAAATCTATTGCAACACTTGATTGCTCACATCCCAGGTTTCTTAGAACAAGCTTATTCATAATTTCCCCAAGAATAATCTGCTTGAACAAACCAATTTGTCATAAGTTATATTTACAAAGGAGAAAATAACATTTGTTGAGCATGTGCTACGAGTAGGAATCATGCTAAGTATTTTTCAAATATACTATTTTCAAAATAAGTTTAAAAATAAAACACAATATTGTTTCAAAAGTTAAGTCTAACCTTTAGAAATCAATTAAATAAACTCTCTCTGATACTCAGTCATCCATAAAATACGACTATAACAAATATACTTCATTATTTATTTTGGTGAGGGTGGCTGTTATATCAGTAAAGGAGTAGGACAGGATATTTAAAGTCAAAGGAAAATATAAATTATCTTTCAAAATATATTTAAATTCCATGTCCAATAAGCTATAATTATCCTTACTTTTTTTCTAGTTTTAGAAATATTTTAGTACTGACATTAAAAAAATCCAAGACAAATTTTTAAATTTAAAAGGTAAGCAAACAAAACAATATTTATAATGTAATCCTACTTGTGTTTTTTAAAAGCCCACTAAACTAAAAAGATAAATGTACATACACATAAATACATAGAACAGGTCTAAAAAGATATACACTCAAAGGGAAGATTGGGGAGGAAATGAAGTAGGACTTTAATTTTTTAATTCATATTTACCTCTGTATTATTTAAAACTAGTATAATAAGCACATACTTATGTTATTTTGTGTAATTAGAAAAGTTTTTACAAGACAATATCCCCATCTAGTGGACAATGCAGAATATGTAATCAATTGCTAAGATACTGTTTCTGATGACTTTTTGTAGCATTCTACAAAATTACAAAATAACAAATAATTGGAAAATAAGCAGTAAGAACTTGAATTCTAGAGGCTTGGTACGACAGAGAGGCTCACATTTTTCTGAATAATAAGGTCTGTTTCCTTCAAAAGGCTGCTTGACTGACTATAAGGATTCTGACCGCAGACAACAATGAACCATACTGCTGGGAGAAGTCGACTGCTGCCCAGACCAAAGTTTACTGTGAATCACTGCTCTTACATCACCTGGCTGTCAAGACAGCTTTTAGTACTCAAAGGCTTTTTGTTGTAGCACCTTATGTACTGCATTGGGGCACAACATTTTCTGATAAAAGTCTTATAAATTCATTCCCCAAAATAAATCATTTATAAACTCGTAAAAGGCTTTATTTTCTAAAAATGTTCTGCACACATTTGCAACTTCTGATTTACTATATGAGAAGGGCATTTTGTACATTTTTTTGTCACTTAAATACTGACTGCAATCCTGATTTTATATATGCTACCTTTGATTTCTGCAGAAGTATCAATATTCGATACACTGGCCTTCAAGTCCTCCAAATCAAAGCTATCACATTCTTTCAATATTTTGGCTTGATTGAAGTAATCATTAGTATCTCGTGGTTGAATCTCACTCAGAATCGTCTGTAAGCGGTTTGCTGACTCTGAGCGAAAGAGATGAGAGTACATTAAACCCCAGTTCCACACCAAATGCCAATTTCCTTTAAGGGTATTTGTCCTCAAAATTTTTGTAATTTTCAATACTTGATAATAAGCTCTATTAGAAGGGACTCATGGGGCAAATAATGTGAAAATTATTTATAAATCTCTTCATGACACTTGAGTGTACTTTTAAAATATGGTAAATATTTTAAATAGGTTGAAGAAAGGACAAAAGAACAACAATAGAAATTGTCCTTAGGACAAAGGCTGCCATCCCATTTACATTGCTTGTCTTAGTATTGTCTAAGAAGCTCAAATATGGTACTAAATCATGTGAAAGAAGAGCAATAAACTTCAATAAATTTTGTTTTAAGAGGTTATGTCTCCATCTACAACATAAATTATCAAGCTTTAATGGTAGAAAGTTGAAAAGACCAAAGGAACTCAACCAACAAAAAAAACAGTCTTTCATACTCCATATTTGACTTCGAAATGCATTATGTAACATACTGCTTTCTAAGTATGATTTACTGTCCTAGTATTATATTAAACTTTGTTTTTATTCCCTAAGCACTCACTGGATCAGGAAATGTAAGCTCCATGAATGCAACACTTTGTCTCTTCACTGCTGAGCTGTCAGTGCCTGGAACAGAAACTGGCTCATGGCAGAAGTTCAGTAACATGCGCTGAAGGAATGAATGGATGACTACATAATAAAGAGCTAGCCAGGCTCAGTTTTAAAAGAATAACAACAGGTAATCACCTGAAACCAATGAACAAATCAAAGAACAGATATTCACTGTATTACCTATGGGAAAAACAAAAACCCAAAGTACTATTATGATTCAATCAGTATCTTATGTGCATTTGGCTATCTTATATGACCTCCATGAAATTTTGTCCAGAACGAATTTGGACAGCCATGAAAAAGTAACGGTTGCCTAAAAAGAAACCATGGAAAAACTAAGAAAAAAGAGAGATGATCTGAGAAAAATTTTAAGAATCCTACCATTCATTTTTATGGCTTTCAGGGGAGACTTTTTTCAAGGAATTTAGAAAGCATGGCAAACAATGTGAAAGACAAACAGTAAAAATGGAGACAACCAGAGGAAAAAAGAAAGGGCAAAAGTTAAGAAAAAGTCAGTAGCCCACAGACAAGTTTTTGACACCAACAGATACTGTAAAACCCTCATAGCAAACATTATTTTAGTAAACTCTGTAGGCCCTACCCACAAAAGGTGACAAATATTCAAGACTTCTTAACCAGAATATACTGGTAATTGCTGATCCAAATATTAGCTATATGATTGGGTGTTTCTTATTCTCATGCATTAAGTAGGAAAACTGAAGCATCATATTTTGGTATTTAGGCTATTAGCCAAAATAAATAAATAAATAAATATGCCTTAGTATCGTGAACCACCACCAATCTTCCAACTCATTTTTATTAAGGAACAAAACCTCACATCTTCAACATAAACATCTACTTCCAGGTTACTTTAATTATCATCCCAAGGTGTTACATTGTATGATGTAGTATATTTATAACATATTTAATGTGTTTTTAATACTAGCCTCTCATTTGCATTCCAAAATGCATTCACAAAATGCTTTATTTCAAACCAAATGTAAATTTACTTCGTGATTTTCTAGTGTTAACAGTTAATCCTTTTTTGTCCGCCGTAGAACAGGTATATATATGTCACCTAGGGCACCCCAGATACTGAGTTTAGTTCTCATCCTTTCAGGAACTGTCCATTCTTTGATTTCATTATAACAAATATTTATTGCGTACTTACTTCTACCAGGCACTGTGCTAACCACAAGGGAGAAAAACATAGACTAGATCCCTTTTAAACTGTAACAACTCCATGACGGAGCACTCCATGGGAAGAGGAGAGTGGTAAGAGACAAGCCTGGCAAGGTAGCAAGAGCCAAATTATTACAAGATCTGGTCTGAGGTCACTAAAATATTTTAAATAAGGGGGGACAGGGTACAAGGGTGAAGTAAAAATTATGTATAATGATGAATTATAGGATCAGAAAAAATTACTTTACATGTAGCAAGAAGGAGATAAGAATAGATGTGGGGAAACCAACTGAAAGGCCCCTGGAGTAGTCCAAACAAAAGAAGAGAAAAGCCTGGAGTAATGTAAAAAGATGCAGATAAAAAGAAAAGAGATTTGAAACACACTTAAGGGTAACACTGAAAGAATGTAGAGACAAGCTCCTTATATAAGGAGCAAAAAGATGTCAAGTAGCCCTAGGCTCCTCACTCACATGAACAGATCTTTAGGAGGGCCATTTGCAAAGACACAGGGGACTGGAAGAGAGAAAACAGATGAAAGTTTATGAAACCAACTTAGGGCATTTTGAGTATCTCCTCCTATTTTTAAAAAATTAAATGGTCTTTGTTATGTCAGTTGGTCTTTGCCCATTTCAGATCCCTAAGAAGTTGCCTTCTCTGAGTGAACTCCATCAACTGCCCACCTCTCTAATTTATACTGCCTGCTCTCCCAGTCCCAGCAATTACCTGGTAGGTGGTGTTCTGAAGTGAAAATATTATAAAACCCAATTTACCCCAGGGGAGGAAGTGCCCTGAAAATCACCTGGTTATTTATTCAGGCTATTTTTTAATAGTTAAAAATATTACTAAAAAGACAGAAATATCACTACCAATAATTTTTCTCCCCTATTTAGCATTTATAGCTCTCCAAAGAAATGATTAGGAAAAAAAATTAAAAGGAGAGAAAAGTATATTAATTCCAGCTTTCTTTGTTTACTGACCTGAATCAGTGTCCATTGGGATAAGGCCTTCTGGAGAAGAGCTCTGAATGACCGGAGACACCACAGCAGAAAGCCTGTAGGACATCAAAAGGAGCTTCTCCACTACAGGTCTCCATTCACTCACCAACTGCAGGCTGCTACAATAAGGACGTTAGAGAAATTTATACTAGCAAAAATCTAAAATTGTAAATGAAAATTAATAGCTAAAAGGAGTTAAAAGAATTTGGGTTTCAAACTTGTGCAATCTATGAAATGTTTAAGACATGTATATGCATGTACAATTTTTAATCTAATTTTTAATTATCTTTAAGGCCATGCATTCCTTTCTCAGGACATATTCCAATGTGTTTAAAACCAAGTATTCAAGAGAGAACTGTGGATATACTTACTTTAGAGGTAACTTCTGCAAAGCTCTTGTTATGCAGTGAACTCGTCCATACATTGGGAATGATGCTGCTGCCTGAAGCAGAGAATTTTCAGCCTGAGATATTTCCTCCTCAAGATTTTCCAACAAGCATTTGATAACTAGAAAAAGCAAACAAAAACCCGAATGTCAGTTTAAAAACACACTTACAAAATTTATGAACAGCAAAGTAGTTCCCATGAAAACGTCCAACTTGACTGAACTTTATACTAGAGGTTTTGAATTTTTTAAAAAAGAGATCTTTCAAGGTTATCCAGCCTGTTTTTTTTGTTCAGTTAAGGTAGAAATC